AAAGCAGTAAAAATTCCACCCTTTAATGTAATTCAAATCTTCTTCCCCTTGCATTCACCTCTAACGCAACAACAAACTCATTCACAATCACAGTTATCAACATAAATTCTTCTCTAAAATAACATTGAAGTTGTTTTTCTAGTTTTTTAACGTTCAATGAAGAAGTATCAACATGTAATTTCTGGCTATAATCATCACATTCCATCTACCACCACATCCTAATCAGCAACAGTCGACTGAATGGGTAAAATCCTAACAGACTCTTATGGCTATTAACGGTGAAGGAAAGTGACAGTTGGGGAGATAACGAAAGTGAAATTGTCACTACCGAATTTCGTGTTTCCCCTCCTTAATACAGTTTATTCTCTGCAACACAATTATGGAGGTCATCTAAAGTAGCTTACTTTTCTGATTTCAAAATCAGTATATAGCTAAAATTTTGCAAAATATAAATTGGTATGCAGTGCCATAGCAATAGAGGGCACCAGTGTCCATTGTTTACTTATTGAAATAAATAAATTAGTCTTTTACTGTGTTTTAAGAGTGTAAGATACCAAAAATGGTCAAAGTTAAGCCATGACCACTCAACTTGTTAGTTCTGCTACGTGCGTCAGTCGTAAGCATACCAACTTACTAGATCTGCAGCCACTTTCTCCTCCATGGCATTTGATCACTAACTCAAATCCCAAAGTAAATCACTTTACAAAGTTTAAATGATCGACGGGTTTAAAGTAGTCAAATTTATGCGCGATGGTAGGAATCGTGTGCGTGTCTTGTAACCCTGAAAAGGAGAATCCGAATGAAGCACCGTTTGCTTGCGATTTAATGTGAGAAATTGTCAAGCACTTCAACATGCTCTCCACGCGTTGTAATTTGAGCCGATGAGTGTGCGAACATATCTTCACACGCTGACAGTTGACACCCATACAACGAGGAGGTAAGAAGGATAAGCGAGGGAATCCAGCTATGTAAATCGTGATATTACACGAAATGCTTTACGCCTTTTAACGGCATGTAACCCCGCCATGCTCTGTGGCAAAAGCGGGCTTGCTTAGATATGATCGCATTAGGGTTTATTTACCTTTCTCTCTCTTGTACTTCTGCACTTAAAGGACAATCTCGCCTTAAGGTAAAGTATGTCACTCATGTAACGTGGCCTACCTTAAAAGATTACTAGAGGCACAATGGAATGAGGCAGTTCGCACCTCCTCTGCGTGCAGATTTCGCCTGGCTCCAACTGCCAATGTAATGACTAATGATAAAAAGATACACGTGTTCCCTGCTTTCCTATCCATCAATACCATATAACAGTGGGCTATTACTTTTTCCGATAAGCCTTATTGTATTTTCCACAAGGACTTGGAACCAGTAATGGCAAAAATTTTGGCAAAAAAAAGGGAGCAGTAGACTAGAGTTGATGGATATTCTCATTCATTTAGCTCTGATCTACGTGGTACGTGACATTTGGATACGTATTGCCATGGCATCGCCAAACTTTGAGACCAGTAAGTGTGATATTAGCTCCCTATCTTCGTGATTCAATAGATATTTTCAGAACTCATCATTTTACTGTTCCGAAAAAGTAGGCACTATATTTGTAACTTTTCTTCTTTTGCCTTCTAGAAGCCTGCCTTGCATAATCACCGTCTTCTCTCGATGTTTGCACCTAACCTAATCAGTTTGGATAATAACAAATTATAAATTTAAAATATTTTAAATCCAGTCTGTTTCTCAGGATTGGCTTTTAAAAGTGCCATTTTCATACTAAAAGCCATATTTTTGCCAATTCTATAATCTACAGGCCAACTCATGTCCCCTTTAATGATTGGCTCATACAGCTGCTCTACCGCCTCTCCCATGATTGGACAGCGTACGCGTCGACCAATTACAGTCCACAGGAAAATGCATGCACTCCATTTCTAAAATGACAGAGGAAAAACCGCCTTGGATTTCTAAAATTCAGCATTTAATAGAGATGAGTGAGTCGAGTCAAAATCCGCTATTATCCAATTTTTCCATATGCGCAGCTTCTATGCTCTTCCTCGTGTAAAATCCTTTTAGAAGTAATGCGGATTGTAAGATTGTTGACGGCTTGACCAGCTAATGTGATCATTTTCTAGCAGGATAATCTATGTGATCCAGCTTAGTAAATTAGTAGGTAGGTGCATAATTAAATTGCCTCTCTGCCACATTTGCAGCTAATGAACGCTGTAGCTTCGCCTCCCCTTCGATAACACCAATTATTTTTCTCCGCCTTACTACTGCTCCAGTTTTCAATTACTTTCAGTCTATAGCATAGGCAATGTGTTGATAACCGAAACTGCAGGCTTCGCTTCTGCCGACGTGATTTCATCCTTATACTGTGCTGCATGAGTTGCTCTCATCCTGACTACATATTTTTTTAAACTAAGGGGCCATTAGCAAGTGTGAGATTTGCTTAATCTTTATTATTTTCTCTCCCTTGCCGTTTTGGTACTAGGTAAAATTAGCTTTTTTTTGATGGCAAGGCAAGACGTGGCTCATGCCCACACACACAATCCTACATGCATACACATGCACACCTCTAACCAAGTAGTGCTTCACTTGAGGGCAGCCTTCTGATTCTATTTATCACATTTTGCTTAAAATAACTTTGTTTTGGAATTCTGCACTTTAAAAAAATTAATTTCTTGTACTGTCTGTAAAGTTAGCTTAATTGGAAATCTAACTGCCTAACAACTTCATACACGGATCAAACCAACATGTCACCCAGGTAGCACCAAACCGGATAAATCACTTGACAACCGTGCAAAAATATCGAATCAAGAGTAATTTCGTTTAACTTTAAGAATTTGTTTACACACTGAGTGAATGTTTGCATCTAGAGCCCGTAGTTATACAAGGCATGACTCTTTGGGTTGTTCACGCCAGATTTAACTGGGGGTTTTGACAAAAATAATTTGTTTTTTAGCTCTGTTGAAATTTACCTGATCTAGGTGCCGTTGCAAGTAACTCTAAAAGCAGGTCTCTTCCGCGCATCCAGCGTCAGTGCCTCTCATGTAGTTTGTCGCAAATTATTGCCCAGAATATTTGATTTGCCCAATTCGTAGAAAAGAAGCTACTAGGTGATTGCAAGATTTTTGCCACTACCGAGCTAGCTAACTACTGTAAATTATCACAGCTTTCAAGGACTCGGGAAATACTTTTGACATACCAACACCCCTTTTGTACTTTGTTTTATTAGAATGGAAAGCAATGGGATAAAATGACAACTTAGTTTGTATGCAGCTTTGATAAGTAGATATTGTAAAGGTTCCACGAATCAGGTCCTATAGGGCTCAGTTTAGATGTTTGGTAAACGCAATTTAGAACCAATTTCATATGCGTTGAGTACATCCGTTTAACTACATGCCTCAACAACCCCACTTACCGCAGGTTTGACATAATGTAGTGCCTGAGTCAGCGCTGAAGAGGCAGTAGGACAAACCAGTGCAGGTTAGGACCCAAAATCAGCAAACACAATGACTAGTTGGTCGCAGACATTAACAGAACTCCGACAACGATGAAGTGGTGCAAATTAAGCTCAGACTATGGAGTTTAAAGCCTCCAAATCTTAGACAGCAGACTGAAGTGTCAGCGCGGTAATATGCATCATCTCCCCTATTCTCCGTTCCGATCTAGCAAAAGTACGCAAATCAATGGGATTGGAGTGCCATCGTATATCTACTTGTCACATTGAACCCAAACTGACTCGCCAATGCGCAGATAGGTCGCTTGCAATAACCATCTGTCCTTTTGTCAGCAGTCATTTAGGACAACATGAAATGTCAGTGGAAGATTTTAAAAGAGAAAACTCAACGGTTGTGTATCCGATTTACATCTCCTGATTCATTCCTCATCCCTCACCTTCCTGTGTGGCGTAGTGTTGTGTCGCTTCTGGAATGTCATCTTTGCTCCTTGTGCTAGTCATGCAGATTCCACCCAACAACAAGCACCACTAACTTGATCCTAGAAAGGATTACCATGCAAATCTGCCTTTATAATCAACGCACAAATCATTTAAGATCCTGCATAATACACCACGACTCCTCTATAGGATAGGAATGTGGAGTTACAAGAGACATTCACTCAATGCTGCGTCCAAATTGGCACATGGATTGACGACGATGGCTGCAACACCAGAATGCCTTTTTTTCATGTATGCTATAATTTTCCTTCTTTGCGCTTAATTCTTCTACAGATACGAAAGCAGAAAGAGTAATGGCAAAGGAATGAATGTTGCCACACATGCACATACATGCAGGCCGAGTAGCAGCAGGAGCGCGACTGTACCACATTCATGCGGCCACTAGAGCAGAAACGGTCGCTCCACCGATGCAGAACAGTCGAATGCATGAACGAGGATCTGGCAATTTACCTGCAATCGGACTAAATGGTTGCGATACAGCCCCCAAGATTTACGAGGTTGCTCTTACTGCTTAAAGGACGGATAAAAAGACCTTATTTTTTGCACATTTGCAATAACTGGTGCATGTACAGGAAGTGCTTCTGACCTACGGTGGGTGGATCTTATGGATGTTAGAGTTTGCCTCATCCTGTGTTGGGTTAAGCTGAGTTGTCCAAAAAATTGTTTGCAGATACTCCACTGTTTAAACAAAGACCACTCAAGGAGAGAAAATTTTATTCATTTGGCAACAATGAGCGATTAAACTCCCAACATTTAAAGAAGGTTGCGAAAAACACCACAAGTACCAGCAAGTACCATTTGTAAAGCTCCTGAAATATCACAGCGATAAAGAGATACACACTAGTCACAGATTCGTTTTGACATTGATCAGCTGGCGGGCTTCAAAATCAACCATTCTTGACTACTTTAAGGTGTTGCGCAGAAATATCATTCACCATCAATTTCACTAGTAAAAACTTTTCGAATGCGCTCTTAGAACAGTTAAAGCTGCTTTTCGGATCACGCAGATCACCTCGCAACCATTAAGTTTAGACTCCATTATGGTTACGACCAATGGGCGCACGTTGAATGTCATATGCCCCAAATAAGGGTAAAAAGCACTAGATGGGCGAACCAGTGATTTGCTTGAGAAGTAAAGTTGTTCATAATGCTGCTTATAAACAGATGCAGATGTCCAAATATGGTCCCTTATGAGGTTAAGTCAACCACCAGATCTCAGTTCATACATGTGATTAACCTGCGGCCATTGACTGACTGACCAACCGATCAGTTTTCCTTGATTAGCGACCTAAAATCTGGTTCACGGCCAAGCCTCGTGCTGTTATCGAAGCAGCTGCTTGTTCTTTGTGAATTCCCATGTGGGAATGCACCATGTGTACGGTGCTTATGCTAACCGAATTTACCTCTCATTGTTGGCATTTGTAGAATATCGGTGTAGAATGCACAGTGGTCAGAATGTTCTTTATCTCGATGCTTCACAAATATAGGAACTGGTAGAAGTCGGGAGACGTTTATGTATGGTGTTTAGACTACCGAAATGCTAGTAGCGATGATGTTGCTGGGGGTTGACTACAGTGAGCGGCGGCGGCTGAGGCACTTGTAGTCAAGAGACGATAATGATCGGTAGAAAGGCACAGGTGTGTACTGCCTTCCAATTGGTCGATACAAGTGCGACTATCACCGACGGACTCTCCGCTCTTGTCGTTCCCACTTCAGCTCACTACACTTCTGTTCGTAAGCTGCGAACTGATGCTTATGAACATGAGCTTAAACTTTGTACAAACATTTCGATACATTTGAATACATTTGATACATTTGAAACATTTTGATACAAATCTGTTTGTTTTCTGATGGAGATGATTGAGCAAGGGGTATGAAAGTATGGGGATTCTGAGCTACACGGTATTGTAGTACGGAATACTGACATGACTTGTGGTGTTTGACAGCTGGCTGACGTCGTAAGACCAGACCGTCGTTTTGGCAAAACATTTCGATTGGTCTTGGCCTGCCTATGTGCAACCTTGGATGATCAGACAAATGAAATGAGGGTGTGATATCCGCAGCATGGTAGAATGTTGGAAAAGAAGGCATCGAGAAGTAAACTTAAGGAGAATGGGAATCGTAAGGCCTTCTAATGTTGCAGCTATCACCACTACTCTGCGTGCCATTTAGAAGTGTTAGTGAGTGGACGTCTTTCATATTTCTCTATTCTTATCCAACTGAGGGGGCCGTAGTAGTCTGTGGAGGACTTTGGAGAGTCCAGAGAATATGCCATACACTTCTAGGATCAAATATGGGACTCTTGGGACGCAGTGAAATCTGCATGATGAGAGCATGAGACAGCACACTCGTCACGAGGCGACAGGATACGTCAAGAGGAAAAGTATGGTAACGGAATTATGTAAGAGAAAATTTTCTTCGTCAAATTTTGCCTACACCGTTTTCCTATCCTTGTAAATGGTTAGTCAAAATCACTAATGTGTTTAGCTCAGCATTGTCGCCTTGGTTATCGCTACTACTTATCAAAATGATTCAGATCACTAGGTCTTAAGATGGATGGTGAAGGTTGATGCAATCTTAAAAGTTAGGCTTGCAATACCTTTTAATAGGTGAGCAGTGCCATCCTCTGAAGTTTCCATGTGAGCGCACCATGCAGCAAATAACTCTCAAATGTTAGGCAGTTTCTTTCGCTCACGTCTCGCCTTTCTCACGTTCCACAGTTGAGTGATCTCTTGTGTATCACTGTCGCCTCTGTTGCCACTAATGTGATAAATAGATTTTCAGAAAAGATGTTCGGATTCCTCGTGAAACCAAAATTTCAGCCTCTCAATACTAGAATGGTTTGTATGGAGGATAACTAGGATTTAGATGCTCCCTATTGGATCAGTAAGTTTTCTACTTGCGGTCGTTCAGGCCGAATTTGAAATTAAGTAGCATTTTATTTTTAGGCCTGACTTTAAAAGACAAATGAAGAAATAGTGGTTATTCTGAGGGATGTTTTGATACTTGATAATGTGTTTTGTGCGTATGCGTGTGTGCATTTAAAAATGAGCAAGTTATCGCGTCCACGGTCAGTTAGTTTGATTGGAGAGGATTGGCCTTGGATTGTGTTAGACAAATGAGAAATTACTAGGTAGTTAATGACACAAAAATACTTTGGTTCAGAAGACCATGTATGTGAATAAGGGTTCTCTCTGAGGTTGAAAGAAAGGCGCTAGGCTGTCCGAGAGAAACGGCTTTCATCAATTCATAAAAATAAATATTGCACTGCATTTTATGAAGGGACTAGTTGTACTTTGTTGTGATCGAATACTGGAGCATCTCAAGTGAGTTTGACAATCACAAGTTACTTTACTGTCCGTGTTTGAAGGCCCTTGTTTACATTACTATGAAAAGAGTCAGACCGACTAGGTGGTTAAGAGGAAAAGGCATGTCCAGGCCAATCAATTAGAGCGATATGAGTAGCGTCTGAGGGCGCGTTATGAGGAAAAGTATTTTCCTCTAGCTTGAAAAAAGAGAAGCCTCAATCAAAGGTGATTCTGCATTTTGGCTTTAGAGTGTCTTACCACATACTGTAGTATTAGCCGCTACGCTCAGGGTCTTCGACAGAGTAACCCTTCCTGAGTCCAAGTGACAAATCATTCTGACGTTCGCACTGAGCAACATCTATTTAGAAATGTGGGTAAAGTAAAGCTAGAAACACTGACAGCTAAATAGCAAATAGTGTCCTAAAATGTGAAAGTCAAGCATAAAAATATTAGTAACTATAAGGTGAGATTTGAATTGAGGAAAATGAAAAGGGGTTTATTAGGCGCAAAAAGGAGCGTTTAATACTATGAGACCAAGAAGTCAACCACGCTCCCCACCTAAGGCGAAAATAGGCATGCTCTAGAGAATAAA